ACATCACGGTCACATCACCGTCATTCTCCTCCAGAATATTTTCATCTTCCCAAACTGATACTTTGTTCCCATTGAACTCCAACTCCCCATCCCTGCCCCCCGCAGCCCCTGCAACCTCCACTCTATTTTCTGTCTCTGAATCTGACTGCTCTAGGTGCCTTATATAAGTGAACAGAACATCTCGTGTTTGAAAGACAACGTAACCAACAGGCATGTATATGTGGGAGCTCAGAGGAGGGGGGTGCCTACATGGGAGTTTGCCCACATGGCAGGTGGGGTAAACCAGCCCTCGGTAAGGGGACCCCAAACCTCAGGTCCTTCTGCCTGAATACACAGCCAGCTGCCTGCCCCTGTGTCCAGGCGGGGTAGAGAAATGGCCAAGAGCCACGTCTCCTGGGACAAGCTGGCCGCATGCAAATCCCGGATCTGCCTCTCAGGGTCAGTGATGGCCTCCTGCCTCCATTTCCCCATCCCTAAGAAGGGAATAGCAATAGTACCTGCCTCATGGGGTTGTCCCGAGGGCTAGATGAGTCAGTGTACGTAAGGTGCATGTTAGGGTCTCATTGTTCCTGCAGTCTTATGGGAACATTGTGCTGCCCAGCGAGGGTGGGCGAAGCTTCCAGGGGCACATCCATTCCAGGAGGGGCTGGTGGGCAATCACCTGAGTTGCAGGCACTGTCCTCGCAGCTGTGGAGCCTGGCCACCTCCTCCCTCCTGACCGCCTTCCCACTCAGCCTTGGGCCCCCCGTGGCCCCAGGACCCCATCGTGGCCTCGGTACTCGTCGCACGTCCCCACTCTGCATGGAGGCTCCTCCAGCGGAGGGCACGGGGCCAGGGGCGAGGCAGCTGGCCGTGCAGACCTAGTACCCAGGATGGGGCCCAGCGCCGGCTGCTTTGCTGCTCGCACGTCGTCTGAGGACCAGCAGCACCGGCACCCTCTGGGAGCTTGTCAGAATCAAGAACCTCAGGCCCACCCACAGCTGCTGAGTCAGAACCCCCATTTTAATATGGGTTCATGTGCACAGTGAAGTGTGAGACGCTCTGGTGTAGACCCCAAAGCTTGGCCCAGAAGACAGTGGACCTGGCCACCAGCTGCAGAGACAGCTGTGGCTTGTCACTCCTGGCGACAGACTCCGTCTCAGGAGGAGCGATGCGAAGCCCGGTGTTTAGGGTCGCAGACCCCGGGCTGTGGGGTGGCTCCTCCCAGGGCTCCCACTCCAGCCCACAGGAGACGTGGCCACTGCCTGGACACGAGTCACCAAAAGTCATGATTGGGGTTTCTGCATTTTTGCCCAAACCCATGGATTCCAAGGCTGCTTTGAAAGGGCCAAGGAGCGAGCAGGCCCCCCGCTTGCTGGGCACCAGCGCCAGCCGCCCGCCCGCCGGTCTTCATGACAAGAGCCTCGGGCACAAGGCTCTGGGGCCACTCCCTCCCGTTACCACCTCCGCGAGGAGCCAGAGTTGGGAGGATGACCAAGTTTATTTTAAACTTGTAATTGAAGGTTGCTCTTTAACGACAACAAAACAGTCCCCGCCAATTCTGGGCTGCCAAAGTCAGCGTCCTAAATAAGAAACAAGTGGTCACTCATTTCCCGTTTTACTTTTACGGGAAGGAAGCCGCAGCTGAACAGAGAAGTGATATCCCCGGTGCTTGCTGCTTGCTGCCTCCAGCCTGGCCCGGCTGCCAGGCAGGAATTGGTGCCCCATGCTCGGCCAAGGGGCTAGCGAGGGCCTGCAGCTGCTATCCAGCCCCGCCTGCCTCCTCCATGGACCTCACAGGGCTCTTGTGGGAATTTACATAAAAGAAATGCCTGCTCAATGCGGAAAATTTAGGAGCTGCAGGAAACTAGAAAGAAAAAAATTAATATCTCTTCTCAGATACTGTTTTAACTCATTGAATGTTGTTGTTTTAGTTGGGCCACACTTTTTTCCTTCCTCATTCTCGGGTGTGTTTGTGCAGGACTTTGCACACTGCAGAATGTTCTCCTGCAGTTTTTGTTTCTTGCCTTCACCTAAGTCCAGTGAAATGGGAAGGGGGAAAACCCTTATCCCTTCAGAGCAGGGATAAGTGTTGAAATGATTTGCCCAGGTCAGCCAGCTAATGAGTGGTCTTGTTAGGGTGAAACTGCCCACCAGAAAAATTCTAAAACAGAAGGTCCAGAACATAGGTGGTGTGTGTTGTCCACTCAAAAGCAGTTACACAAAACTAGGACCACATGGCTTTTATGAAACATGGAAACATGATTCGGCACATATATATTTGGTGTATATACTTCCGAGGTCACTTGGTGAATTCCCAACTGTTGCAGTTGCATAACAAACGCCACCAAGACTTTGGGTTTGGGCAGGGCTCTGCAATGGCTCATCTCTGCTCCACAAGGCATCAGCCGGCGCAGAACCTCCAAGACCCTTGCTTCTCCCGCTTGTCAGGTGCCTCCATGTGGACATCTCACCCACTCGCCTGCCTGTTAAAAGAGAATTCTCTGGGTTGCTTGTTAAAAATTCCATTTCAGATCTTCTGATTCAGGATCTCAGGTGGTGGGACCCAGCCATATGCATTATTTAGCAAATTCCCAGAGAATTTGCTAAAGCCCAGGAAAACCAGGGTTCCAAAAGTTAAAGACTATCCCAGATTCCTCCCATCACGTATACATCTAGTTCACCCTTAGGCTAACACTAAGGCAAATTCTTTCCAAATATTAATTTTGGGGCCATTGTTTGGGCTGGGATAACAATTTCAGACTTAGGACATGTGTCCAAACTTTCCTCCAAGCACCCCTGTGGGGCCTCCTTACTCACCTACCTGTATCAGCGCAGGTGTTCCCACCCCACTCTGGCTCAGACCCGCAACCCCCTGGATGGGAACTACTAAGAAGCCGTGGCTGGGCTGGCCCTCAGCACTGAGTCTCGGAGCAGGTGCTTCAGGCTGCCCCGTTTTCTGATACTCACTTGTCCCTTAGCCAGGGCTGACTACATAATGTGTGGGACTTAATTCGAAATGAAAATGTGGGGCTCTTGTTCAAAAAGCAGGAAACCACCTTCTCCTTTCTTCTATATTTCTCTCTGAGAGTCATGGTGGTTTTTATTTGCTCTCTAAGGTCACACTCCCTGGGGGGGGATACTTGTGTGCAAGTGCCTGCAGGTTCCTGGGGTCTCACCCACAACCCTGAACGTGCAGCCCACACCCGACCCTCCCTACATCCACGCCTGGGGGACTGCCACTGACAGGCAAGAGTAGGGGAGCCGGCTGCCCGGGAGGGGGGGGGAGGAGGGAGGCAGGACCACGTGGGAGCCGAGGCCCTAATCCCCTGGTGCTCGCTCCATCATCCTGTGGGACTCAACTCACAAACCCTGGTTCAAAGACAATATCATAAAGAGTTTCAAGGCTGGGCCCTCAGAGCGTGAGACTCCAAGCACAGGGCCAACTTCCGAGCACAGACAAGCTCGGGCAACTGCCTGGGTCACACTGCAGAGGCCGGCCCTGCCCTCAGCCCCGCCAACAGCCCTGAGCCCCTTGGTCCTGCCTGGGCTCCCTGCTGGTCTCGTGGCACTGTCCACTCTCCTGTCTCTGAGGCCCCCATCCACGCCCAGAGTTTTGTTTCCGCACCAAGGCCTGACCGATGGCCCCCAACCCCCTCAGTGTTTCAGGCCTGGCTGCTGATGTCCTGGGGGGCCCGTCTTCCAGCTGACCTCACGTCCCCGGCTTACTGGCTGTCCTGGGTCTGCATGCAGTTGACTTGCTGCCCTCCCGCAACAGGTGCCTGGGTTCATGGTCAGAGCTAACGAGGCTCGGTGGAGCTGGCACCAAGGTTGGGTCTGCGTCCTTGGAGCTTCACCGCACAAGACCTGTGCCAAACCCTGCCCTAGGCTCCCGGTGGAGGCCAGGACTCAGCTGCGCACGGCAAGTGTCGGCTCCTCTGTGTGGGTGCCCTGCCCTGCCACGCTCGGGAGGACGCCCCCCTTCCTCCAAGCTCGGGAAGAGCGGCCCCAGCGGGCGACACCAGCAAGCGATCTTTCCCACGCCTGCCTTGCGCTGGCCCTCTGGGGTGTTCCCGACATCGCCACTGCCTTTCCCCTACCTCGCCCCTCTGTCCGCGCTACCCTAGGACCGCGCTGGAGGAAGTTGGCCGTGGCAGTGGACCCTTCCCGACTGCGGGGAGAGACGGGCGCGGTCAGAGGGCACGGAGGGAGGCAGGGAGAAGGGCATGCAGGTGAGGGAGAAACGGGGGGAGGGTGTGAAGAAAAGGAAGAAAACACCTTGCCATTTTTTACTAAAATTAAATTACACCCTGCTGAAGTTCCCTGTTTTGTATTACCTATATGCGTGCTTTGAGTGTGTTTAACTGAGGGGTGAAAAGCAAGAAGAGAGTTTGCAGATGGGCTTCTGAGGCGAGGCGCGGTCTCTGGCAGCAGAGCTGGGGGCCGGCAGGTGAGGAGGACGGGAAGAAGGGGGCCGGGCGTGGGCAGGGAGCAGGCGGCGCGCTGGGCAGGCATCCGTTCCTTCCTGCACCCCGCAAATGCGCGCAGCCCCTGAGCTTGACGGGGAGGCGATCTCAAGCCAGCAAGACGCGGGCTGTGCCCTCCAGAAGCTGGGGGCCGAGGTGACGGCCAGTGGCCCTAGCACCAGGAGGGCGTTGTCGAGCAGCGTGGCGAGCCCGGCGCACCCAGGCGCGCAGAGGTGGGGACGCCGCTGGCCAGGGGCAGGTAGGCCGAACTCGTGGAGGGAGGATTCCAGCCGCGTGGTCACGTGAAGGAGCGCAGGGAGCAGGGAGACTGGCCACCCGGGGCCCATCAGGTCAGGTGGCGTGGCCGTGGCCGGAAGGCGGGGCCGTGGCTGGAAGGCGGGGCCGTGGCCGGAAGGCGGGGCCGTGGCCGGAAGGCGGGGCGTGGCCGGAAGGCGGGGCGTGGCCGGAAGGCGGGGCGTGGCCGGAAGGCGGGGCGTAGCCGGAAGGCGGGGCGTGGCCGGAAGGCGGGGCGTGGCCGGAAGGCGGGGCGGCCGGCCGGCCCTACAGCAACAGTGAAGAGGCGCAGGGGGGAGCGCGCAGCTGCGAGACTTGGCGCAGGGGGGCTGTTTTCTTGCTGGAGGTGGGGCCACGGAAGCTTCCTGAAAACTTCGGCGTGTCCAAGCTAAGCTGCGCTCTGGGGGCATCCTAGCGGCAGTGTGCCACACGAAGCCGGCGGGGAAATGACGAACCTCGACGGTCTAGGCCAGAGGAGGGGTGCGGCAGGATGGGAAGCGGGGACTGACGGAGAGGTCACACTCGTGCTGCTTGGTGAAGGGAGATTAAGGTGAGGGCTCAGACAACCTGGCACGTTGTCACTGGGGGCCAGGGAGCCAGCCTGAGCAGCTGGTGGCAAATGGGCCTTGAAGATGGCAGGCTCCATCTTGTTCGAGGTGCCTTTATTAGCAAGTGACAAAAATCTAACTCATGCCAGCTTCGCCGAAAAGGAGACTGTGTTAGCCTGCATCAGGGGAAAGTCCAGAAAGTGGCTTTACATGTAGCTAGATCCAAACACCCCAGGCTAGTGTTCAAGTCTAGTGTGTCCATCTCCCGGTTCTGCTCGCTGCGTGCTGCTGCAACCGCAGGTGGGGCCCGCCGCGGCGGCAATGTGGCCCCAGCAGCTCGGCTTATGTTCCAGCAGCTTGGCACGTCCAGCCGTGCGTCCTATCGAAGGCCGCGTCCCCTTCCTGGCTGGTCTGAGGCCCTGCCCGTCTCTGGGCCTCATGCCTTTCTCTGAGCAGCAGGCAAGGCACATACCCCGGAACCTCCTGGACAGGGCAGAGGGCAGTTCCCCAGAGGAGAGCCCGGGGGCTGCCAGCAGGAGGGCGGAGGGTTGGGGGGGCTGCAGACTTCCAGGTGCAGATGTCGGGGGCTGAGGGGCCAGGTGAGGGCTGCAGCCAGGTTTCAGTCATGGTGGGAGGTGAAGCCCTAGGAGTGGATGAGGTCACAGATGGGGGGGCCCTAGAGACCTAGGAAGGAGATATGACACCTGGGGAGGAAAGAGAGGATAAAGGGGGCAAGACGCTCACAGAGGTGGGCGGGAACAGTCCCGCCTAAGGGAGGGAGGCAGTGGTCAACCTGCCCGGACCCAGAGGGTGAGGGCGAGGCCGCTGTGGGGGCAGATTATCTGCACAGGGCAAGGTGTGGCCGGGGCTGGTTTGGGAGCCCGGGCAGCGAAGGCACAGAGCAGCCCCTGCGGAGACCGAGGGACGCAGACTGAATGACAGCGATGCGGGGGGCCCAAGAAAACGCTGCTCAGTTGAAGACGAGCGTCAGGTGCGGGCCCTCATCCGTCTCTAGTGTCGGGGCAGTGGGCGGCTGCCCAGCTCTCCTCTGGCCTTCACTCACTTGGCTCTGATCACACACTGGAGTATATTTGCCTTTTTTTTTCTTACCTAAAGACGTCTTTTTTGTAATAACAGCCTTTTTTTTTTTTTTTTTTTAAGCTGAGCTAGATTGTCTGATTCCAAAGGACAGATGGGAGCAACATTCTTTTTTGTGTCTCCTCCAAAACAGCCCAGCACCTTGTACATTTTAGCTATTCCATCTACGTCCTTTTGTAGATGGGCACAGAGCCCCGAGTCTCAGTCCCAAGCAGGCTCAGCGTGTTCTGAGCAGTTGACAGGGGCTCCAAGGTTTGGCTTCACCCCTCAAAGCAGGCCAGTGCAGGGACTGGTGTTTTGCCCAAGTCAAGCTGATCTGCAAGTTTCCAATGAATGACTTCCCACGAGCCTTGCTGAGCGCACGTTTTGTAGCTCTGACCTTCCCAAGTGCTTTTCCTCCAAGGCGGTGATTCTCCAGGGGCTGCTCCTGGGAGCACTCGGATCCCTCCTGGGGTGATGGTGATGGGCCTCCCCCTGGGCCAATTTAATCCCTGGCTCTAGGTGGGGCCATGCACTGCGAATTTTAAACACTCCCCAGAGCTTTCTAAAGTGCCCAGAGGGTTGGGACTGAGCTAAGGGTATCCTGGAGCGTGACAGCATAGATAGCTTATGAGATTTGCAGCCAAGCAGCCCAGGTCCAAATCCCAACTCTGCCATTTGCATGCAGTTCAGCCACTTTGGGCCTCAATTATCTTAATCTCCAAAATGGGTATAAAATATGCGTTGCCCAGAATGTACAGTGCACACAGAGCTTCAGTTGGTAGGAACCTTCTAAAATGGCAGTTCCTGAGCCTCCCTGGACACTTAAGAATTCACTGAGATAGACCCTCAGTCTTCTATTTCCAGGGACACGTGGGGACAATGCAGCCCTTTCAAAAGAGGTGACTCCGACAATGTCAACCATGATCATTTTACAGAACTGGGGAAACAAAAGTCTTACTTTATTTCTGATTATAGAGGAAAAGATTCAGAGTCCCCCTAACCGGCCCTACCTAAATGCAAAATTATCACCTGCAAGGCATGACTGTTCCTTTTCTAAAAGGCAGTGGGAGACCTGAGTCAGTGGCAGCCCGGGTGCCGCCCACTTGCCGTGAGCTTGGTGTTGCCGCCCTCTGGTGGCGGTTTCGGGTACTGCTCCCCCCAAGAATGGGCCGTGGACTCGGACAGAACTTTCCTTCCCCAGCGCTGCGTAGTGAGAGCCCTTGTTCCCTCCCTGTCGGCGGAGCCAAGTCACCCAGGAACGCTTGCCCACAAGTTCCTTTTGTGTCCCAGAATTGTTGAACAATATTCTCTGCATTATGCCACATGCTGGGGACTGTTGGAAAATTCTGGGCCCAGAGTTCAATTTTTTATTGATACTAGAGGGAGGCTCACCGGGAACCTGCTTAGAATTCTAAAAATGGAAGGGACTTTGCGTATTTTTAAGAGCTTGGAGGCTGCAAATATCACATGTTTATCTGAAGATAAATTAACTGGATCCTGAGGTAATGAAGGGCCATTTAAACTTGAGAGATGGCATCTCTTAATTCATTATTCAAAGCCCTCAACCACATATATAATATATATTCGGATTCATGGCTGCTACGGGCTGAATTGTGTACCCCTCAACATTCACATGTTGAAGCCCTAACCCTAACTACCTCAGAATGTGACTGCATCTGGAGATGAGGCCTTTAAAGAGGTGACTAAATTTACAGGAGGTCATTAGGGTGGGTCCTAGTTCAATAGGACAGGTTGGCCCATGACAGCATTCTCAGTGACCTGCTGGAACGACTGACCAAAGGAGACCTACCCTCCCTGTGCCCACCTGCCCCTGCCTACGGAAAGGAAAGTTCTGACCTTCTGGAAGTACTGGAAAGAATTCTTCCTTCTCCTCCTTACCCCTAACTACTCAGCATGGATGACTGCTTCTGCTGTCCGTTAAGGGCGAGGGTCTCCAGGTGGAGACTGCTGCTCCCCCCGTGGTGCTCTCTCTCTCACACAGCTGCTTTAAGCAGGCTGGCCACAGGATGCACCTGTCTCCCCCCGCCAGGGGTGAGCCCAAGGAGCCCGGTGCTGCCCCGCCAGGGAGGCTGGCCTGCGTGGGTGGGTGGATACAGGTAAGTTTGGGTCCATTTAGACCTTGGGTTCGAGCCAAGATTTTTAATCCAGCCTTACCAGGAATAAAGCCGATGTTGATTTGCATCTGGTTTCTGTACCTGTTGGCAAAGTCGTAACAGGGAGGGGTATGGTAAATTAGCATACTTTCTATTTTTTATTTTATTTTTTTGATACAGAGTCTTGCTCTGTCACCTGGGCTAGAGTGCCGTGGCATCAGCCTAGCTCACAGCAACCTCAAACTCCGGGGTTCAAGCAATCCTGCTTCAGCCTCCCAAGTAGCTGGTACTACAGGCACATGCCACCATACCCTGCTTACTTTTTTCTATTTTTAGTAGAAGCAGGGTCTTGCTCTTCCTCAGGCTGGTCTCAAACTCCTGACCTCAAGGGATCCTTCCACCTCAGCCTCCCAGAGTGCTAGGATTACAGGCCTGAGCCACATTGCCAGGCTGAATTAGCATTCTCACACCCCAACAACAACGGGTTTGATTTTCCTTAGGAGTGAAAGACATTTAAAAGTGAACAAATAAAGACCAGCCAATGCTTTTACATGATAATTCTACAAGGTTTCGTGAGGCTGAAAGCAAGGTACCCAGGCCAGCCTGGAGAGGCAGAGGACCGTGTCTGTGCTGGTCAGTCTTCGTGGAGCCTCCTCGTCAGCCCCTTTCATTCCGCCTGAGGCTGCCACTCACTGAGAAGTAAGTCGCATGGGTTGGTGACTGGTAACGAAGGCAAAGCTTAGGCCTCCCTGCCCAGCCACGGCAATGTCACAGCTGCTCCCGGCGGGGAGGTCTGCCTCTGCAAGACTTGCTGCTGGGCAGTGGGGACGCAGGTGTCCATGAGCATCTTGTTCCCAAGAGCAAGAGGGGGGGAGTGGACAGCCAGGCACCTTCAGGTTCTCTTTCCAGGTTCAAGCAGGTGATGAGCTGTGATCCAATGAGTAGAAGCAACTGGGTGCTCCACTCCACGTGAAGGGGACGTCAGAGGGGCGGTGAGCGTCCCCCTTCAGCACCAGGCACGGAGGTGAGGAGAAGCCCGGGCCACTCGCTGACACTTCAGGCACCTCGTCAAAACCTGAGCTGTGTGCCCGGCTCGTTCGGAGCCCTGTGCGCGGCTGGGCACAGTTCTGGCCTCTGGAAACAGGGAGAGCAGCTGGCTCTACTCCACTCACTGACTCACTCGGCCTTTTTTTTTTTTTTTTTTTTCTAATTGGGGTATAATTTACATGCAGGAAAGTGCACAGTACCTAGGGGTGCAGACTTTGTGTACTCAACCCATAAGACCCCACCAGATGGAGATGTGGAACATCTTCAGGGCTGCTGTTAAAGTGCTTAGACCACACCTTCTGCTATCCTGAGGAATATCTTAGAGGCCTCCCTGGCATCAAATATTCCAGCCCACAGATATATTTTTAAATGTAAAAAATTCAATTTTATGCCATCAACACTCAGTTCCATCATAACATTTTTCCCTTTTTCTTTTTTTTTTTGAGATAGAGTCTTGCTCTGTTGTCCAGTCTAGAGTGTCATGGCGTCAGCCTAGCTCACAGCAACCTCAAACTCCTGGGCTCAAGCGATCCTCTTGCCTCAGCCTCCTGAGTAGCTAGGACTACAGGCATGCGCCACCATGCCCAGCTAATTTTTTCTGTATATTTTTAGTTGTCCAGCTAATTTCTATGTTTTTAGTAGAGATGGGGTCTCGCTTTTGCTCAGGCTGGTCTCAAACTCCTGACCTCAAGCCTCCCAGAGTGCTAGAATTACAGAAGTGAGCCACTGCACTCAGCCTTTTCTCCATATTGACATTTAACTTACAAATGTAATCTTTAAAATGTGCTTGCTTTTTTAATTCTAGCAACAGTTTTGATTTTGAAACATTAAAAAATAATTTTTTAAGTTTAAAAAAATTCACTTATCAGGAGAAGTTGTTCTTCCAGGGAAGTGATTACATGTCTGAGGTGCAGACTTCCTCTTAAAGAGAAATTGGAAGTTTTCTTTTCCCCATCAAAATTAGAATTACCCCATCAAGGGGAGATTTCTCATGATTATTCAACCAAAAACAGTCAGGAAAAGATAAAATTAATTTCACAAAAAGAAACTGCTTCTCCAAGAAGTATTTTTTATTTCTGGAATGCATGCAGTGTTTTAGAGGAAAATGCATTGACTTTGTACATATGTATGTTGTCCTTTGACAATGCAAGCAGAATTATCGTACTGAACAATTTCCTCCAAACTTTTGTCCTCAAGGAATTTTAGATCCACATTAAAATTTTAGATTATTGATTTGAGATCATGGTCAGCTTAAAATTTTTTTAAAAAATGGCAAAGATGTCTTTCTTTAAAAAGGTCTATGAGATATGAAGTAGATGAAATCTAGGGAAAGTATACCCCATCACGAACTGTGTCTGTATATATACATATAATATTAAATGTGATTTCATATTAAATCAAACTAATATATAAAAAATTGATATAACTATATGATATAAACATTCCTACAGCTATATATAAAATAAATATAACTTAACATAAATATTACAGCTCTCCCACCACCATGTCTCCACATGATGCCTACCCAGCTGACAATACAAAGCTGAAACCTCCTTTGGGCCCCCACCCCAGGGCCAGTGGGGCCTAGCATCCTCGCTTTTGTTAGGTCTGGGTGGAGGGCAAACAGGTGGCAAGGCAGGTAGAGGAAGTGGCTAAAGGTGGAGAGTGGGAACCAATCAGAATGCAGAAAAGAAACTGCAACATCAGAGACTTGTGACCAGGGACTCTTCCCTGGAGGGAGTACGTACAGTGAAGAGCTCCTAGTGACTTCAACTGACCTGGGGCTCATTACAATCTAATTAGCATTATAGTTTTGACCTCTCGTAGGTTTCTCATAAAGGATTCTGGGAAGCTGCATGCATAGAAAGGAAACTGTTATATAACCCCAACCTGTTCTGTAGCCTGTTATGTAACCTGTTATGTAACGCCAGCCTGCCAATCACCCAGGAAAGAGCGGGACACACTAGTGAGCATATAAAAGACAGTGTGTGCTAAGACTTCGGGTCTTCTCCACTCAGGGAGAATGACCTGTCCCTTCCTCTGGACGTACTCTCGCTTTGCAATACATGCTGTGTGTTGGGATGGTTTTGTGTTTGTGATCACTCCATCACTGGCTCAACTCGGTACCAGGACACTCATCTCCGACACTGGGAACCAAGGACCAGGGAACATCAAGGCAGACTCAACACTTTGACATAGCATTTGTCAGCCGGGCCTGCAACCATGAGGGCATTCGAGCACAAGTCAGGTCACTATATCAGCACGGCAGAACTGATTTAGATGATACCAAACACATAGCTTGACACACTGACACACAGCTCAGCGTGGGCATGCCCAGCTCGGGGCCAGCATCAGCGGTGATGAGCTGGTAGTGGGTGGTCTTCACGAGCGAATTTGCTCTCGGTCTCCTCTGCAGCTCTGGCTGACGGTGCGGCCTTTAGGTGTTGTGTACATGTGACTTTGGTGGCAACTAAGCTTGAGATTCTCCAGAACACTGAGCCAGGGGACTCTCTCTAGCTGGCAGCGAGTAGCTGATCCTCTGGTAAAATTAGGGCTAAGAATGAGACACTGGGACAGTCTCAGCTCTAAAATGCCGTGATTCTCCGTTAGAAACTTTCTTTGGGCTCGAGGGTCACAGCTACAAGAAAGCAAACTGCAAATAGGACTCTGTCCATGTTATTGTTCCTTGTTGATGTTAGTAATTTTAAAGGGATGTGAGAAGCTCTGAGAAAGACCTCTAAGTCACGGAAAGCTCAAAAGAGATGCCACTCCAATACCACTTCCTACCTGTTTGATGCCTCCTAAGAAAGTGCACGTTTTCCAAGAGTCGTGCCGGCTTTGCTCTCCATTGCGTGGCAGTCATACACGATTGCAAACACACAGTGTCTGGCGTCCAGTGTCACTGACTTCCAGGAGCCTCCATTCCAGGACTGTGTGGCTTACTCTCTTCTGCTAACATTCTTCTAGATTATTTTAAAGTGGGGTTCACTTTGTGTGGCCTTCTTTCCCTACAATGTCACTTTGCGTTGGTTGTATTCATGTGTGTGTTCATCCAGAGAGCACGTCCTGAGTGCCCGGTCTGGGCTAGAGCCAGGCCCACACAGGCAAGCAGGCTGGCACCGATCACGGGCTGTCCGAGCTGGGGGCCGGGAGGCCTCTCCCAGGCGTGTGTCTCTCCTCCCTCACTCTTGGGGACGAGGTGCCAGCGAGTGACATAACCTTACCCACCTCCACTCCAGCCTGGCCAGCGTGCTTCCCTGGGAATTCAGAATGGGGGCTGAGCAAAAGAGCTCATCTTCTTCCACATAGAACATGGTGGTTGTCAAAGCTGTTTTCTACCAAGTAGCAGCTACAGCAAAAATGAAGAATGGAGCAGGCTGGCAAGGAGAAGCCGAGGCGGAGGAGAGAGACGCCTTTCTGGATTCCTCCTCACTCAGCGTAATGTTTCTAGTCTCTTACTGAGGCCCAGTTATATTCCAGCTCAGGACTTTTCTGAATACTCCACGCCCCTGTCTCCTTACAGTAAATCTCCCCATTTTAAGCATTTTAACATTAGCCCCAGCACTCGTCTGCTGCTCACAGTCGAAAGAGTCTCAACATGACGTCCTTGCCCATGAGCAGATCTCAGCTTAATAAAACAGACTAGAAAACACACTATGCAATACTGTTCTTCACAGTGTGATGGGACTCCGAGTTCCTGGGCCTGGAACTGCAATCTTGTTCGCCCTGCGTCCCTGCCACATTGTAGGAACTCAGTGGAATACGCGCTGACTCCACAACCAGATGAAGGAAGAGCAGTGAGCCCTTGGGCATTCTTTCCCCAGGCTGCTCAGCTGATTGGACCCTTAGAAATCAGGAAGTGGATACTAAAGAGACTGCATTTCCAGAGAGACAGACCAAGCAGGATTGAAAATGGGCACTCCAAGGGAATTCCTGACAGGCTCTGTTGACACCACTTGACCAACAGTCACCCTTTGAGCCAGGGGAGCGCACGTTGACAGCATGTTCTCCCCCCAGGAGGATGAATTCAGGAAAGATACTGTGCAGTCTGCAGCAAAAAATCCTATCGGCTGTGATATGTGGAGTGTGATTAAGAAGCAGGCCTTCCACCTGAGATTTCAGAACCTCCGATGAAGAGAACAACCCCAGAGAGTCCCCAGCCAGACCCTTCTATCAACATGAATGATTCCAACATGAACTTGATGTTACCTCAGGATCCAGCTAGGCCCACAACATCAAAGAAACACCAGGAACGTACCATATTCACTCAAGAACAGTATAAAAAGTTGGAGGCTCTGTTTGGCCAGACCACGTTCCCAAATAAAAATACCCAGAAGGATCTAGCTTTGGAACTCAACCTACCAGAGATAACAGTGAAGGTTTGGTTCAGGAACAGACGATTCAAATGGAAGCAGCAGCAGCAGCAGCAACAGCAGCAACAGCAATCATCAAAGCAACCAAACCAGATTCTTTCGACAAATATGCCCACTTCATCCAGAATATTCACCAATCCTTACTCTTTATTTCCTGTGGTTTCAGGTTTCTGTAGCTACGTTGCACCTCAGTCTTTGGATCCTTCTAATTGGGCATGTAGGTGTACCTTCACTGAGAGTCCCACAAGTGATTTCCAAATGCAGGATCTTCAGTTGGAGAGGCTGGTGGCCTCTGTTCCTGCTTTGTTCCCTGATTCTTACGACATAGGTCAAATCATGGAAGTGTACAGTTTTCCTGATGAAGATGAGATATCCTGTTCCTTCCACTGTCTATATCAGTATCTCTCACCCACAAGGTCCCAGCTAGGAGAATAGGGTTCCTCTATCAGCACCCTTGCTGTCACAGCTGTAGCTCTATCTCCTAGGCAAGCCTGGTCCAGTAGGACAAGCCAAAGCTTTGAATATTAAAGTCTAAGAGAAAACCTTGAATTCCAGAATACTTCCAATATGGTAGACTTTGGATTACTCTGATCAAAGTACTAATGAATACCAGACCAGTTAGAAGAGAGATCTTCTTGCCTCTTGTATATGACTCTTTTCTTTTCTATGATTTTTAACCCAAATGTCTGGGTCTTTGTCTCTTTGATTTCCATGGAAATGTTGTAATACCTAGAGTTTTCCACATATAGCTCTGCATTACAAAATCAGCCTCATGATCCTCTCTGGGGAGAAGTCTTCCTAGTCCTTTAGCCAATGAGACTCCAAACTTCTCTCTTCCCAGAGCTGTCTTAGACTTTTTAAAAGAGGGACAGTGGCTTTTGGGTTCATCCACTGTTGATAACAGAAGGTTATAAACTTACATTTTACTTGCAGTCTTTATGTCTGGGGGTTTTAAAAAGGGACTTTCAGTCCAAATTTGAGGAAAAATCATCACCACCATTAGTTTTAACATAATTCAACAGTCCAGACATAGTAAGAGGTATAAAAACAGGCATAGGAGAGGGTAAAAGAGATTTTTGAAGATGAGATGATTATTTAGGAAAACTAACAAAATCAAACTTTTAGAATGACATTTCAGCACATTTTCAAGCTACATAATCAACACAATAGCATTTCTCAACATCAGTAATAAAGAAAATTAATAAAATAAGTACCTCTTAATAAAAAATTTAAGGTATTTAGGAATTAACAAAGAAAACTAAGACTTCTGTGGAGAAAACTTTAACACTTAAAAAATGACATAGAAAATGGTTTTGATAACAGGCATTTGAGGACATAAAATAATAAATGTATTTTTATTTAAAAAAAAAAGAAATCAGGAAGTGGAGGAGGTGGAAGGGAAGGCACGAGAGGCATGCACCCTCAGTATGGCTTTTACTGAAAAAAAAAGCAGACTCGCACAGTTCAGACCCATCTTGTTTAAGAGTCGTAGATATACAGATTTATAAACATAACCCACCATTTTGCTTTTGCACCTTTCAAAGTCTTTCGCAATTTTTCATGACAAATAAGTAAGGCAGGCCCAGATGCTACAGGATGCCCACTAGTTGGGGCATACATTCCTCCTCTGTCTCTCAGGATTGGAGTAGCACTTTTAGTTAGTGAATTTTTAAAAAGATGCCCACGGTGGTTACTCTAACCTGGGTGGCCTGTGTCTGTACAGCAGGTGGGGGAGAGTGAGAGCGTTTGGCCCGGAGGGAAGTTTCAGTGCTGCTCTGAACATGTTGGCCAGGGCAGAGGGAGTGCGGCACAGGGGAGGAAAATTATCTGAGAATGAGGAAAACTGGATCTTGCTATGTCATTGTCTCTGATTTCAGAAGGGACAAGACCAAGAATTGGTGCAGACCGAGTGCTGCAGGCCGGTCTCCCAGGAGCCGGCGGAGGCTGATGGACGGTTGTCTTGTCCATCCTCACGGCAGCCCGGGCGACAGGCGGGCGACTGTCCCCATTTCCGAGAGGAGGAGACAGGAGTTCTGGAACTCAGGCCGCGGGCCTCGCCTGCAGCCCATCGGGCTCTGAGGGGCCGCCTCTCGGCCCGCCAGGAGCCGCCGGCCGGCTGCTTTAGGAGCCTCAAAAATGCTTACCTTTTCTTTTGAAATCAGAAGAAAAACACACATCCTAATACGGTGACTCTAACCTGGGGTATACCTGTCCGATATCGATGCGGCTGTGAAACAATCTCCAACATCGTCCGTGGAGGAAAGGCCACGGAGCAGGGGCGCCGGGAGGACGCGCTCCGCTGCGCGCTGGGCCGCGCCCTCGTCCTCGTCCGCCCGGCTCTGCGGACCGGCTCGCGGCCCCTCCATGCTAGGGCCCGCTGGTCTCTTTAATTTTCTTTTTGATTTCTGGCCAGGCGCCACAGGGAAATAAGAAAAACTGACCGGGGCGGGGGTAGCGAGCGCCTCCCCCAGCGGGAACAGATTCCAGCCCGAGGGGGCCGGGCGGGGGCGCCGTCGCTCCGGAAGCGCAGCGGGGTGACCTGCGGTGCCGGGAAGCCCCCACCGAGAGGGCGGCTGCGGCCTGCCCGGCGCCGGCCCCTCCCTGCTTCGGGCGGCGCGGCGCCAGGGCGCAGGTGTCCGCGGAGGGCTCGGGCTTGGACTCCGGAGGGCCACACTCCTGCGGGGCTCCAGGGCGCAGGTGTCCGCGGTCGGCTTGACTCCGGAGGGCCACACTCCTGCAGGGCGCCAGGGCGCAGGTGTCCGCGGAGGGCTCGGGCTTGGACTCCGGAGGGCCACACTCCTGCGGGGCTCCAGGGCGCAGGTGTCCGCGGAGGGCTCGGGCTTGGACTCCGGAGGGCCGCACTCCTGCGGGGCGCCAGGCGCAGGTGTCCGCGGAGGGCGGCGCTCTCGGGCGAGCTCGGGCTCGGGAGGGCCGCGGGGCCAGACGTCCGGACCAGGTTCGCCAGGCCTGGGGCCTACCCAATCCTTTAACCTGGCTCCAGGGGCCGCTTCATTTCTCTGAGCCTCAGTTTTCTCATCATAAAATGAGGGCTGATCATTCCAGGTCTAATTTTATATGGTTTTCAGGAGAAAAATGTGAAGGACAGCAACAGATTTTAAAATATGTATATGAATTGGACTTTCGTCCCAATTTGCCAAGTGTCGTCCACACCCTCTCCCACGGTGGGCCGTCAACCAACCCGATTCAGAACACGGTCCCGCGGCGGTCACGGAGACCGCGCCGCTGGGCGAGGAACCGAAGCAAACGCTGGGTGGGCTCTGCCAGCTAAACGCCAACGCAGGGCGCGGCGCGGGGGCGGGGGGACGTGCATAGTGCACCCTGCGCCAGGGTGGCCAGAAGGGCTGTTTCTGAAGACGGAGGGCCAGTGGGAGGGCCAGTGTTTCCAAGGCCAGAGCAGGGAGAAGAATTCATTAAAAATAAAAATGGTGGGCAGGTGCGGAATGAATTTCTTAATTTCATGGAAAGTGGTGGTGCTCCATGGAGTTCTAAGATGTAACCCACAGCCGGCCCCCTGGATGCCCAGCTGCTTCCCCGGTGGAGAGTTTACTCAGAAGGAGGGGAACAATGCACGGCATTGCCAATGTCATTCATTCCGAAGGCTCTTCACTCTGGTGGCCATCAGCTCTGGACACCGAGTAACAGCAGTACCCTGCACCGGCCCATTATCTGGTTTTGATCTTTCAACAATACTGAGAAGATCCTGAGATACTGTCAGTATTCCCCTCTGGAAGATGAGGGCTTCAGGTCCCAGAGTGGCCAAGGACCAAACCTGTAACCTACATCCCCAGGCAGAGGCCAGCAGGCCAAGTGAGGTGGTTACTTCTCTGCATAGTGCCACAATAGGAGGTATTTTGACTACATCTAATGAATTGCAGACTCTTAAAGATGGACGAAAACAAGTTCTGGAAACATTGAAAGAGCTGAAATTCGGGTGTCATCTGCACCATCACTCAAAACTGTAACTGTGGGGCTCATGCACAGGGCTTCAGTCTCCGATGAAAAGCCAGCATATTCATAAAATAAGAATATTCATGTGTATCTTTCATTTAATTAAAAATTTAAAGTTCACATATTGGGGCCTGACGTGGTGGCTCATGACTATAATCTTAGCACTCTGGGAGGCCGAGGTGGGAGGATCACTCAAGGTCAGGAGTTCAAAACTAGCCTGAGCAAGAGCAAAAACCCGTCTCTACTAAAAATAGAAATAAATTAATTGGCCAACTAAAAATATATAGAAAAAATTAGCCAGACATGGCAGCACATGCCTGTAGTGCCAGCTACTTGGGAGGCTGAGGCAGGAGGATTGCTTGAGCCCAGGAGTTTGAGATTGCTGAGAGCTAGGCTGACACCATGGCACTCTAGCCCGGGCAAACAGAGTGAGACTCTGTCTCAAAAAAACAAAACAAAACAAAACAAAACAAAACAAAACAAAACATATTGAAATGTCTTAAATCAAACCAAAAATGAAATTAATTCCCCAAGTTGAACAAATGTATTTTTAGTTTCAATTTATTCAATGTCAAATGGTTTTTCATTTCTGTGAAGTATAGTCCTCCAAAAATTAATATTAATATATTCATATAATGATACATAGTAAGAATTCCCTCTCCTTTCACTAAGAAACTTCCAAACTACAAGTTTTTCTTCACGACTCTTGACAGTGTATGTATATTATTAAATGCCTCTTCTGTGTGCATCTGAGTCCTTGTGGGACATGGTTCCCTTGTCCTTTTCAATTCTCCCTCCCAGGCTTGGTCTCGGGCTGGTGCGGTTTCTCTGATCTTGGATTTCAGTGTTGCCAGTGATCAGTGAGATCTGTGTGGCTCATGTGACTGAACTCGGCGATTCGTTTTCTAAGAGGAACAATGGGGAGGTAAGAGACGCTCAACCTGAAAGCAAATGTAGTGTTCACTGGAAGGGTGCATGCCAGAGAGCGGCATTTTTGTTTATTTGTTTTGGAAGGTTTTGTTTCTGATTTTTGTGTGTGTGCATGAATTCATTTTGAATTCAGCAGGAGGTATTTTCTTTAAGCTCCAGTTTAAAAATAAATACCTGCCTCACTGCCAGACTGGGCAGGTGTGAGGAACACAGCATGTTTCTCGCTGCGAAGAGCTTCCTTTGAGCCTGCGTTAGTCAGGAAGGCTGGTGCTGGGCTTTCTTCTGTTGGGCTTTCTGCTCGTGAAAACATTTTGATGGAAAGAACAGAATATTCAAAATGATTCTAGGTTCCACTGGCCATACAGTGAATTTCTTTCAAAATTTTTGATTGCAGATAATACAGATATAGAAAATACATTGTAAACATTTTACAAAAAGAAAAAATGTTTAAATTGCCTATAATCTATAGTTACTCCTATTAATGTTTCAGTTTATGTGCATATATAAATAAAATATATATATTGTGGCATCATAACACCACAATTGTGTACATACATTTTTAGGTGCATATGTAATTTTTTAAATATAGGATTAAAAATCTTCCTGTAGAGCCGATGGGTGTTCAAAGTTTTAAGATTTTTGATACCTACCACCTATCACCCATTTATTACCATTCGTGATGGGAACATCCAGGCTCCTGCAGTGACCAACAGTGGGGGTGAGCGGTGTGGGTGTGTGTGCGCGCATGTGTGTTATCAATATTATGAGCAAAACATGGCATAGCACTCTTGAGGGCCAAGACTCTAGTTTTTGGTTGATCTTTCTGCAACCTGAAGTCATAGCAAAGACGACAAAAATCAAACAGCCTGGTAGCAATTTAGGAGCTGTCCTTCTCCTGTGGGACCCGAGAGTGACACAGGCACAGGACTTCTGCCTCTTCCGCTGTGAACAGACTTTCTCTGAAGCCCTGGGTGACTCGTGGCACAGTAGCAACAGGGGAAATGGCTGCAGGGTAAAAGGGAATTACCAAGAAAGAAAAAACAGAACAGTGTATCTGGGAGGTGGGCCGAGGCTGTGCAGGAGGTTTCCAGGTGCCCGGCATGGCACCAGCCAGAGGGGCTTCCTGGAGGCGGTGGGCTATGCAAAGCACGCTGGCCTCTGTGCGCAGCACAGTGCTGGGTGGGGAGGGTGGGGGCCTGACTTGGCTGAAAACAGGCTTCTGCCAACAGGTGGAACGGCATCAAGGAGAAATGGATCCCAGTTACTGAGCATCAAGACAATTCCATTTATTGTCTGCACAGGTTTGAGGTCAGAAATGCAAAGCGCCTACTTGATTGTAACAGTTCTTTCTAGAACCCTCTTTTCCCCACTGCCTCAATAAAATTTTATCCCAGATAAAATTCCCTGAGATGCGGGTTTCCAGGGGCCAGGAAGGACACAGGTTGGGGGTATTCCATGAGCTCTTCTTTCGGTATTTCTCTTTCCTGCTAATCTTGTAGACCCGACTTCTCTAATTTTATTTTATCCATCTCAGTGAGTAAAGAATTCAACCTCTTCCCTCTCTGCCATCGGCAGAGAGAAGTTTCTCTCTGTGAAATGATTAACCTCACCGCCCTCCACCGTCTTCAGTGTGTGGGGTGCCTCTCCGGGGTGAGGCTTACAAGGTAAGTTCCTTTTCTGCTCTGTGATGTCTGAAAAACTGAGGCAGGGGGAGAGACAGAGGCTGAGAGACAGAGAGAAACAGAGAAGGAGAGAGAGAGAGGAGAGAAAGGGCAAGAGGATGAGGGAGAGTGGCAGACAGCAGAGAGGGGAGAAGGGAGGGAGACAGCATGAGAGAAGTCAGAGAAAGTGAGGGAGAGAAGGAGGGAGAGAGGGAGAGAGAGAGAGAGAGAGAGAGAGAGAGAGAGAGAGAGAGTGAGGGAGAGAAGGAGAGAGAGAGAGAGAGAGAGAGAGAGAGAGAGAGAGAGAGAGAGAGAGCACTGGAAGGAGATCAGTTCACCCCAGGAAGTTTCCACAGTCGTCTCTTTGTCCCTTTGTTTTTTTGAATGGAAAACATTTCTGTTCACAAATCTAGACACTTTGAGAAGAGCCCTGACTCCTGACTGTCCCCAGGCCTCTCAGGGTTAAGGAAACAGAGACGTCTTAATAAAAGGTCACTAAATGCTGAGGAAGGGTTGGGGACAACGTACTGGCAGTGGCAAGGCTGAGAATGCTGCTCAAAGTGCCACCCACTGGAGCCTCTCCCTGGCGCACAGGCTGCCCTCCCAGGCACCTCCCTCTCCCACCTGCTTCCCTCCAGCCGTGGGCTTGGACAAGGCGTCAGCTTTAGGGGACAGGAGGCTGGAGGTGAGAGGAGAGGTTGGGGCACTTGGTGCCAAGCACCAGACACCCGATTTGGGGAAAGGAAGGGCTGTTGTAGACTAGCTGTTTTTGAGCACACACTTCCCAGCAGAGGGAGGCGGGCACCACCGTCACCTCCTCCCCTTCACCTCCCTCAGCCTCCAGCCCCTTTCTGCTCCCTGCAGTTGAGGAGCCGCCCAGGCGACCCTCCTCCTCCTGGTCACAATATTGGTAAACGGCCCTGGGCCCAAAGTCCAAACAACAAATGCATCTTCCAGGAAGCTGACAGTGAGACCCTGTTAAGGAGACCCAGCACCGAAGTGACCTACTTCCCGCACACAGCAAAGCCCACATCCTGAGCTCAGCCGCCCAGAGACTGTCTGTTAGGGCAGCACGGGGTGTGGAGCCAGTCCTGTGGGTCGGCATCCGGATCCCCACCCCTCTGCTGCATGTCTAGGAAAGTCACTCACCCTCTGAGTAGTGCTTGCTCGGGGACAATGACATTCACCATGTCTGTCTCAAAGCCTGGAAACTCTTAAACCAGGACGTTTGCCGAGCAGCCTGGAAAGTGTGAAGCTCTCACCTGAGCTGCTCCTCTGCCGCTGCTGTCGCTGTCATCAAGCCTCGTCCGACCCCGTGTGTTCCCAGGACAAACATCTGCTGCACACGGAGCCGTGGTCGTTCTAGGTGACCGAGATTGCTCTGGCCAGCCTGCCTGCCAGCGCCAAGCTCAGAAGAGAAGGCGTTCTCCTGGGCTCTCTCCCCCGCCCCCTCGGCATTCTCCGTGGGCCGCAGTGGGGCGGCAGTGGTCACGCTTGCCCTCCCAGGCCACCTGGGCTTAGGTGAGCAGAGTGGAACACAGATGAAACATGGTTCTTTTTTTTTTTTTTTTTTTTTTTTTAAGTAGCTGGGACTACAGGCATGCGCCACCATGCCCAGCTGATTTTTTCTATATATATTAGTTGGCCAATTAATTTCTTTCTATTTATAGTAGAGACGGGGTCTCGCTCTTGCTCAGGCTGTTGCGAATCCTGACCTCGAGCAATCTGCCCGCCTCGGCCTCCCAGAGTGCTAGGATTACAGGTGTGAGCCACCGCACCCGGCCAAAACATGGTTCTCTTGGAACCAAAAAAACCCCAATTTGAGCCCTGGCCGAGCCACTTGTTGGCAGAGCGGCTCTGGGCATGCTTTCTGTTTTGTGAGCTTCTGTATCTGCGTTGGATTCCTGGGGCTGCCCATGGCAAACTACCACACACGGGGTGGCGGGAAGCAACAGGTGGGTACTGTCTCGCAGCTCTGGAGGCCGGACGTCCAAGGTCGAGGCGAAGGCAGGATTCTGCTCTCTCCGAGCTGTGGAGGTGGCTGGCAATCCTTGGCGCTCTTTGCCCTGCAGACGCATCACCCAGTCTGTCTCTGTCACCACAGGACTTCTCTCTGTGGGTCCGGCTCCTCCTTATGAGGACAGCAGCCCACTGCACAGAGGGCCCACCCCGCCTGGCATGACCTCATCTTAACTTCACTAATTACATCAGCAATGGCCCTTTCCCAAATAAGGTCACATTCTGAGGTATTAGGGGTTAGGGTTTCAATTCAACATGCCCTTGTAGGAGACACAACGCAACCCTAATAATATCCACGTCCAAAGTGGACGAACATCTCTCCTTTGAGAGCTGCTGCGAGGAGTAAGAGCAGTGGAGTTGCGTGCCCGGCACACACGGCAGGTGCTCGTGAATGGCAGCCTCTGCACGGTCGCAGGGCCTGCTCTGGGCAGAGCACACAGCACAAGATAGGCCCTGGGCGCCCCGTTAGCGGAGGCCGAGGGCAGCCCCAAGTCCTCCGAAAGCTTCCTGGCGCACCTTAACTCCCTTCTCAAAGGAAGGAGGATATTTATTGCACTATGGCCTGCAGGTTTCTAAACACATTCAAAATGATGCATTAGTTCATGCAAGAGGAGGAATGTGCTAGAATAGGGAACACTACACTGGGAGTGGGGACCTGGGCGTCTGCTGACACTTGTCCACTGATGTACTGAGCATCACTGACCAAGTCTTGGGGCCTTTGTTTCCTTTGGGCCTTTGCGAATAGAAAAAAGTTGTTAGACTAAATGACCTCTCCAAGGTCCCTTGTCAGTTCATGATTCTGTAGTACTTCCTGTATTCTCATCCCCACACTGGTTTCAACATAAATGAACCCAGGGATCTTTTCTGTTTACCCTGTAAGAGTTAAATTTCCATATTATTGTTATTTGATTTTTCCACATCCATCGTTCTTTTAAAACATAAAATTATTACATTATGTTCATTACATAAGAATTCAGAATTATAAAAAGTAAATACAAAAATAATGTAGCATCTGTTGTGACTGAAGAGACAGAAATGCTCCCACCCACTGTGGTAGCCACTAGCATGACTGGAAACATTCTCAGAAGGCACCAAGGAACCACAAATCGGAGATGCAAACAGAAGGGAAGGATGGAGAGGCATCAGGGAAGAATCCGTGTAGACGCTGTTGGCTAACCCTGCTCTCACCTTCTCCCTTTCCCGTCTCTACGCAGAGGTAAGTACTGCGCATGCTCAGCCTCCCTTGCCTCCAGGGATGGCCGCGTGACACAGGCACGGCTGAAGAAGTGGACAAGTCTACAGGAAGCTCCCACAGTAGTTCTTGCCGGTCAGGAATGCCAGAAGTAATGAAATTTATTGGCAAATTTTATAAAAACAAAATGTTTAAACTTTTACATAAAAAATTCATAAAACCCCAAAAGAAACAATACATGGAGGAAAGTTTTGCAACTCAAATGATTTCCTTATTGTAAAGAGAGCTTTGTCGACAATATGAATAAGTAACAGAGGAAAATTCTATTGAAAAATAGAGACTATCAACAGCCAGTTCATGACCTCAGACATGGGACAGATTTCTCATTTACGTTCGTGATTAAAGAAATGCAAGTCAACATGCCAGTGCAGAATAACCAGCTATTTACATAACACTGGCAACAAACACAGCTTGACAAACCCAGCATATGGGAGGTGCACCAGGCAGCCTCCCGCACTGCTGATGAGAAGGTACATGTGTACAACAGTTCTGGTGGGCAAAAGGGAATTCCTGTTAAAATGTAAAATGCACATATCCTTTCTCAGGCAATTTACTCTCTGGGAACGTATTTTTAAGGATATATAGCTACAGAGAGATCTTATAGAGGTATATCAACCTTAGATATTAATATCCATAAATAGATATGAGAGATAAATATCAATCTCTATCTCCTGTCTATCTATATGTTGATGTTAATTGCAGCATTATTTGCAAGGCTAAAAACATGGGCGGACTCCTATGTCTATAAATAGGAGAAAGACTAGATAAATATTTCGCAACTATTAAACAGAGTGAAGTGATAAGAGTTAACTGTGCAATGTGGCAAGTTCCTCAAGTCATATTAAATGAAAAGGTAAGACCCAGAATCATATGTGTGAGTACATATACATGTAGGTGTGTATATATTTATATATGTATGTATGTGTATTTGTTTTTAATTTTATTTGGGTATAAATTGGAAGGATTTACTTTACCACTGCGTATTGGAAATAGGTTAAAGGGACAGGGTCTGAAGTGAATGGCGTGCATTTGGGGTCCAGCACCCTCCATGCTGAGTCAGCCCCGAGCACAGGTGCTGCCTTGTGGGCTCGTGGCTCCGGGGCTGCTGGTTGGGAAGGTGGGTCCCGCTGGGCTGTGGGAAGTCCACCGGTTTCAGTTCACATGATTTGAAGCACATACATTAGTAAAGGGTCAGCCTCTTTTTCAACACCAGTTCAGAGGGTTTCAATTTGACTTTGGGAAGGATCTAACCCTGAAGAACAAAGCCAAATAACACACACTAGGTGAGTTTCATTGTCAAAACCATTGAAACTAGCTGGGATCCACTCCCCACCCACTGCCCGGCAGACCCCACTCCACTCTTTCTTTTCTTTCTTTTTTCTTTCTTTCGTTTCCTTCTTGACAGCCTCACTGTCACCAGGCTAGAATGCCATGGCATCAGCCTAGCTCACAGCAACCTCCAACCCCTGGGCTCAAGTGATCCTCCTGCCTCAGCTTCCCGAGTGGCTGGGACTACAAGCGCTCGCCCACCACGCCTGGCTAATTTTGTTTCTATTTTTAGTAGAGACAGGATCTGGCTCTTGGTCAGGCTGGTCTTGAACTCCTACCCTCAAGCGATCCTTCTGCCTCAGCCTCTCAGAGTGCTTGGATTGCAGGCAGGACCACAAGGCCTGGCCCCCACTCTATGTCTAGACATCGTAATGACGCAGGCATTGCGGGAGGAGAGCTGTCCAGCCCGGCTGCCCAGAACGCAGCGCGGAGACCCTGACCCGAGGAGCACGTCAGCGACGCTGCGCGCAGCGAGGACTGGGGCTGCCAC